GTACAAAATGCTAATAATAATAATAATAATAATAATAATAATAATAATAATAATAATAATAATAATGACTAAATGTGATAAATATAAATATTATGTATCAAATGTGACAAAAAAAAAATTTAGAGACTAAATATATAAATATGATAATTCTATTTTTTTTTTAAAAAACATTTCAAAGACTTTTCAAACATGACTTTTGTAGTTAGAAAGTTCAAACTTCAAATTGACATCTGTTTATCATTTTCGGATTTTCAAAAACGTTTTGGAAATGGGCAATAAGGATTGGAAAATTTTGGCTAAGGTAAAGAGAATTCAAAAGGGATTATGGCAAAAAAGTGTTAGATATAAATTCACATGGCTCTAGTTTAATACTCCATCCATCCCATTTTATCTCTCATACTTATTATTCATTGTCAAACTAACACTTTATTCTTTGTTTATTTTCTTTAGTATTTTTACTTATTTTTAAATTTAATTTTTTTGTGTTTAATAGTACTTTTAGTGTAGTTTCTATAAATTTTGTATACTAATATTAAACTTAACTTCAATCAAGTCTCGTTAACTGAACCAGACACATAAAATGGGACGGAGGGGGTAATTTTTGACAAGATTAATTAATAAATATAAAATATTAAGAAATTGTATTAAAATGTTCAAATATATAATTTTGTTAAAAAAAAAAAAAACACAACTTGAGTAAAAGAATTTAGTCCACAATGTCATACAAGGAGCGTTATGCTGTGCATTCGTATGCACCATGCATGGTGTATATGGATGCAAAAACGACGTCATTTTGGCGTCTAATTTAAAAAAAAAAAAATCAGAATTGCATAACTACACATCCATAATTTCACTACACTTCCATAATTTCATAATTATATATCCAGAATTGCATAACTACACTTCCAGAATTGCATAACTATACTTCCATAACTTCATAACTACACAACATCCAAAATTGCATAACTATACTTCCATAACTTCATAACTACACAACATCCAAAATTGCATAACTACACTTCCAGAATTTCATAACTAAAAAATCCAAAATGAATGAACTAAAAATGAATAACATAATGTTGTTGTTGGGAATCGAAACTGATTTTTTTTTTTTTAAAGTAGGACGTGCGTTTTATGCAAAATGACGTCGTTTTTGCATCCGTATGCACCATGCTCCATGCAGGGTGCATACGGATGCACAACATAATTTGCCATCATACAATTTGCCTACTTTAGATCCCAAATTTAATTTGATAGTATCCAACTTAGGCTTAATCATAGCTAGTGTTAATTATCCGGCCCAAACGCTTGGATTTGGACCTGCAGGATTATGATGTATGATAACAAGGGATAAAAGGGTTTAGTAAGATGATGCAATAATGGTATATTTTTTTTCTTCTCTGATAAGAGAAATTTGTAGTCACTACTTGAGAATGTATACTGAGAGATAAATTGTAATAGGAATACCTTGTATGATGAACTTGAACGAAAATATGTTAACAAAAATCAAACTCATATGATAGGCACTGACGGAGTGGTTCACAAATAAAGTCTTGATGACTAGTTTAATTAGATTAGTTTTATTTCACATGATACTAATATCAGTGTATTAACCATAGAGTTTTTGATTGTTTGGTTGTCATATCGATGATAGTAGGTGGACATTAACTATTTAACCACATCATAAGCCACATGGTCATGTCTCGAATCGAGTAGGGGCTAAATTCGACCAATTCGACTGAGGTCTAACAATATTGCCAATATTGTCTAGTAAGAATTTAGTGTTATTGCGGGACTAACATTGGGATGATGATATTTACCTTGGAGCTGATCGAGAATGATTTCAAGGTCTCCATAATTATAATAAGAAAATAGTAAAAGTGTAAGTGATACAAAACCTCGTTGGGTCGAAGAGGGTGGGCTGTAGCAGGTTGATAAGTTGGTACATCGTTTCCAACATGGCCCCCTTGTGTCGCCACCGCCATATTTGGTTTATGCTGAAGGCCGGCGAGGGGTTCGGATCGGTGGCAATTATTTATTTTGATGATTTATGTAATATTACTAGTAAGAAAAAAAAAAAAAAAAAAAAAAGAGTTTGAGGGTTGTTGGTTAATTTAATTTAACTGGTTTTTAATTTGAGGGTTTGATTCCAATCTTTTTAAGTGATTTTTTTTTTTTTTTTTTTTTTTTTTTTTTTTTTAAGTTTGAGGTTCTTTCGTACCTAAAAAAAATATCATATATCTTCAAAAATGAATGCTTTGCTTGAACCTATGTCTTGGTTTGAATGTTAAAATAATTGATTCTTCATACATACAAGTTTGCAGTTTCATTTCAAAACAATTACAGTTTCAGTTCAATTCAATTGCAGTTTCATTTGATAATATAATAAAAATAATATGTGAGACAGTGTCAGTTTAAATACACTATAGTATCTGTCGTTTTGAACCATGGTCCACAGTATAATTGTTGACTCTGTAGCTTGTGGGTTTTATTTTTGATTGAATAACTCCAAAAATGATTTGATTGGACTCATAGTTGAATTGGTACATCTTAACCTAGAGGGTGTAGTTGAGTAAAACGAGATTCATCTATCTTTAATCCAAGGTCAATGGCTCGATCCTTGGTATTGGGTATGGAGCAGTTTTAAATCTCCAGGCTCGCTGCCTCATCCAAAAGATGTGCTTATAATTTAGCGAGAGAATTAGTCACTGTGTTTGACGGTTGAGTACACCAAAAAAAAAAAAAAAAATTAAAAATGTCTTTCAAGTAGATGTACACTCACAAGCGGAACTCCTTAAAAATTTAAAATAGAATCTTTAATTATTTATTCTATCATCTAATACCTCTTACATGCCTGGGTTTATAACTTTATTGAAACTATTAGAGTAAGGTTATAACACCTCTTGCATGAGTTTATAAAACTATTAGAATAAGTTGAATAAATGAAAACTTACTTTATAATGTTTATATGAATGACAAATAAAACTTTTTTATATTCGATTGGTTACTTGTGAACCAATCAAATATATTACCATAAATAAGTGAATATTCAAAGGTAAAATAAAGAGGAGAATGTAATATCATTTAAAATAAAAAGTACGGGAGTAAATGATTTTTAAATTATGAAAGCATGCATTATTTTGGAACATGCTAGCTAGAAAGGAAAGTAATGCAACCATTATTTTTAAATTACCACTCACGATTTATAACGGATGGAAACCTCACTCCACTTTTTTTCAAAAAAAACCTCACTCCACTTATATGAGTACCAAGAACTTATTATCTTATTAAATTTTTTTAAAAACAATAACATTAAAATTATTTACACATAATAAAATTTACTAGTTATATTAACACATAAAATAATAAAAGTATGCAAACATAATACTCCGTAACTCAATTGATTTTTTTTTTCAAATAAATTTATTAATTTAGAACTAAATATACTAAAAATTCAACATGAGTTATAATTCCTTCGTTGAATGGTAGACACCTCTTTTGAGTGGGACAAATGGTTTGAAGATTTAAGGTTGCTCCATACCCAAAGTCAAGGATCGAACTCTTGATTTTTGGTTAAAGATGGATGAATTCCTTTCACTTAAAGAATAAAATATATTGAAAAGTAATAATTATATTCTTAAAATACTTGATACTTTTTCATTGTAATTAAGAGTAATGTAGCATGTTTGTGAAATGATTACATGAATTTCTCCTTTTGGAATAAGTGAGATGTGACCTATTAATCACCATTTTTACATCATAATCGTAATCACATTCTTTTCATGGACCTAATCCAGGCTACCAACCCCTGTCGTAATGGAGATGTACAACGTCGTACCAAAAAAAAAATAAAATGGAGAAGTACAATTAATTCCCATTGTGGACATTATTAAATCGTCAAAAATACATTATACAAATTTAGATTTCTTTTTATAACCTAAATTTTTCGATTTCATCACACTAGCTATATCTAAACCCATAAAAAAATTGTAGAAATCCTATTGCTCAATAGTTTTGTTTTTTGCTTCTGATCTACTTGACATCGTGCATGCTCCAAATAATTATTAAACAAAATTCTTTGTATTAATATCTTTTTGAAACCATCATATATATATATATATATATATATATATATATATATATATATATATATATATATATATATATATATATATATATATGTGTGTGTGTGTGTGTGTGTGTGTGTGTGTGTGTGTGTGTGTGTGTGTGTGTGTGTGTGTGTGTGTGTGTGTACGTGTAGAGGGGATCAAATGAGAACACGATCTTATTCTAAAAAGTGAGAATTGATCACAACCACCCATCATGGTTCATTAATCTTCGTAGGCTTTAGTGTTCAATTTTATAATTATTACAAACTTTCAAGTTTACAATATTTAATAATTATAAAATTTACGAGATCATTTTCCTATTATTTCAGCAACCTTAGCCGTTTATCTATCCATTTATCTGTTCTCATTTTTTTTAGTTAATGGGTTAATTGATGTTAGGTCTTACTTAATGGGAATTAGGAGAGTGGAAAATGAAAGCAATATTTTACATCTTTTTCACACATTTTTGTATATATTTGGATTGGAAATTTTGAAGCAAAGAATTTGGTGACAGTAAACAAATAGTTTTCCCTTGAAATAGACTTTTGGTTTCTGGTGTTCCACCAGACAAATACATTCTGTACACCTCAAGCAAATACATTATCTATATATATAGTATATCTATACATACACATATATAGTTGTATATATATATATATATATATTATTTCCTATTATAAAGTATTTAATCTTAATTTACAATAGAAGGATTGAAACTGAAGCATTGCATGACTATATTAATCCTTTTGCTGTTTCTTCAAACATAAAAGGATTCTCTCCCTGCCCCTTCCTAGGTAATTTTCTTTTCTCTAAAACCATTTTCTTTAAATGTATATGTATATATATACTCATCTCCAGATTGAATATCATCAAAATATCTTGTGCAAATATGGAAACTCTTCTTTGATGAGTGTATGTTCATGAATATATATTATATAATGCATGATTGGTATGAATATTTTTTTCATTAAATTCTTGATTATTTGGATGATTCCAGGGATGCTTGAGTAGTTAGTTCTATGTTGTGAAGATCCCATGTTTCTTTCCTCCATTGCAGCCTGATCTTCCAGGAATCTTGCCCAGAAACTCATAATTTGATGGAGCCCAGACAGAGATCCATGTGAGTTAGTTCTATGTTTTTCTTGATGTTTGCAGTGAAATGTGATTCCTTTGCGGTAATATAAGATAGTTGGATTACACATTTATGTTTATATATTATATATGTTCAACATGCCCACAAACCTTTTGGGTATAGGTAAACCCTGTTTTGTGACCCTTAGCTACCCCGCAAAGGGTCACAAGGAAGTAAATCAGTCTAGGTTACTCATAGCTGATCCATTCAGATCAGGGGCAGCCAAGAATTCGAACTAGTGACAAGTATGGATCACTTGCCGATGGCTGGGGTTACCCCGACATTGGTTGGTTTTGATACAAAATTGAAGCATGTGTTTCATCTCAACTAAAAATTTAATCTGATAGTTGGATTGCATATTTATGTTTATATATTATATATGTGCTCAACCTAACACAGAGAAGATGTGCACAAAAGAAGGGTGCAGAAGATCAAAGTTGAAGATACAGTGAAGCCTTTCCAACAGCCCTTTCAAGAAAAGGGTACGAGGTTGAAACTGCAACCACTGAAATGTGTGCTTGTCTTGTTGGTAACCGCCACTTTCATTATCCTCCTCTCCACCCCAAATGGCTGTCGTCGCAACAATTCGTCCGGCTCTGTTTCCCGGTGAGCTAGCTTGCAGCTCCTATATATCTCAATTTCATGGTTATTATTATAATGCAGAGCTGATCTGATGAGCTTGGTGAACAGGATGTGGATTTGGGGTGGTTCAGATCCCAGGTATGCATCAGACCTTGATGTTAACTGGGGTGAAGTGTCGGAGGTTGTTAAGAAGTTAGCAGAAAACGAGAAAATCCTAGGAATTGGAGTGCTGAATTTCGACAAACAGGAGATCAAGCAATGGAAAGAGGTGATTCCCAGTGCAAACCTGACAGTTTTGCAGGTTGAACATGCAGGGCAGAATGTGAGCTGGGAAGTGTTGTACCCGGAATGGATCGACGAAGAACAGCTCGACGAGGTTCCCAGCTGCCCTTCTCTTCCCAAGATTGATGTGCCAAGGCAGAGAATTGACCTCATTGCAGTGAAGCTTCCTTGCAGAAATGAAGGGAACTGGTCAAGAGACATAGCCAGGCTGCACCTGCAGATCTCGGCTGCTGGTTTAGCCACTTCTGCTAAAGGCAACCGAGCTGTACACTTGCTTTTCGTCACCAAATGCTTCCCAATCCCAAACCTTTTCCCCTGCCGGGAGCTCGTGGTCAGAAATGGCGATTCGTGGCTGTACAAACCTGACTTGAATGTCCTCAGAGACAAGCTCAATCTCCCGGTTGGATCCTGTGAACTTGCCCTCCCATTTGGTGCTAAAGGTCTGTTTTTGTTAAGCATATAATATAACATAAACATAAATGTGCAATCCAAGTATCATCTTAGACTTTTAATATCAGAGTCATATCAAAGGTCATGGGTTCGAATCTCAGCTTCTGAAAGATTGAATTTGAACATACAGGGCGTGCAGGGGAGCCAAAGCGGGAGGCTTATGCGACGGTTCTGCATTCAGCTCATGTATACGTGTGTGGAGCCATAGCTGCAGCGCAGAGCATAAGAATGGCGGGATCGACCCGGGACCTGGTGATTCTTGTTGATGATAGCATCGGCGAGTACCACCGGAGTGGACTGGAAGCCGCCGGCTGGAAGATTCGGACGATACAGAGAATAAGGAACCCTAAGGCCGAGAAAGACGCGTACAATGAATGGAATTACAGCAAGTTCAGATTATGGCAGCTAACTGACTACGATAAGATCATCTTCATTGATGCCGATTTGCTTATTCTCAGGAACATAGATTTTCTGTTCGGAATGCCGGAGATTTCGGCGACCGGGAATAACGGCACTCTGTTCAATTCCGGCGTGATGGTGATCGAACCGTCCAATTGCACGTTCCGGCTCCTAATGGATCATATCGACGAGATTGAATCCTACAACGGCGGGGATCAAGGCTACTTGAACGAGATCTTCACGTGGTGGCATCGGATCCCGAAGCACATGAATTTCCTGAAGCATTTCTGGGTGGGCGACGAGGCGGCGGTGAAGCAGAGGAAGACGGAGCTCTTCGCGGCGGAGCCGCCGCTGCTGTACGCCGTCCACTACTTAGGGTACAAGCCGTGGCTGTGCTACCGCGACTATGATTGCAACTGGAACGTGGACATCCTGCAGGAGTTCGCCAGCGACGCGGCGCACGATAAGTGGTGGAGAGTGCACGATAGCATGGCGCCGGAGCTGCGCGAGTTTTGCCTGCTGCGGTCGAAGCAGAAGGCGCAGCTGGAGTGGGACCGGCGGCAGGCGGCGGCCGCCAAGTTCCCCGACGGCCACTGGAAAATCAAAATCACTGATCGCCGGATGAAGAGGTGTACGGATCGGCTGTGTAACTGGAAGAGCATGCTTAGACACTGGGGGGAGAAAAACTGGACCGATGATCCCTTCTTCCACCCTTCCCCGCCGCTCTTGAAACTCTCTTCCCAAAACAATCCGCCGCCACCACCGCCACCATCATCCTCCGTTTCTGATTCTTGATCAATCTTTCAGATTTTAAACTTTTGTTTATGTCATTCAGCTTAGCCTTTAATTTTTGGTTTAGCTCTACACTGTATCTTCACTTCCTCCATCTTCTCTTACAGTCCACCATTGTTTTTCCTTCAACATGCTCTGCTTCCTTCTCTCCCTATACGTATACTTGAGTTTGGTAAATAAATTATTAAAAAATATAATGGGTCCTATTTGGTAAATTAGCTTATCGGCGAATTTTGGCTTAATGTTTGAGTTGGTTAAAAAATCATGTTTGATTAATTAGATTTTTGTAATTTTAAAATGCTACAAAATTTAAATTCAATTAGCTTTTTGAGAAAAAAATTATACCAAAATAATTATCAGCTAACATGTAATTTACTAAATATTTTTCTACAATCAGTTAATGTTATCAACTAGTTATACTATATAATTAACCCAATCAGCTATCAGCTAACCATCATTTATCAAACAGGACCAATATGTTATGACCAGCACTTTGTCTCTTAATCAGGTCGGCCGCTGCGAATGTGGATTAGTTTGAGTATCCATGGTACGGAATTAAAGATATTTTTTACATTTAAGGCCTACTCAGAATACCTCATGGCCTGACAAAAAAAAAAATAAAAAATTACAAGTTCAATTTTAGACGGAGCAGCTTTAGCTTATAAACCTTCTTTCTCAATTATCCCATGGGTTTAATCCTTGACCGTCCATTTGAAATGGTAATATTTGTGTAATCACACTATATAGTAGTTAGCACCTATAAATTGTTTTAGTTTAAATCGATCAAAACAATCTAAACTAATTTAAAGCTAGGGTCAATCAAATTCATTGAATTAATAATATTACAAGTTTGATCGATTTCAGCTGGAGTAGTCTATAAACCTTCTTTCTCAATTGTCTCCTTTATCATGACTTGATCCTTACCATCCTTTTAAAAATGTAACAAATGTATAATTATACTACATAGTAGTTAAAATTTATGAATTTTCTTCGTTTAAATTGATAACACAATCTAAACTAATTTATCGGTTATAATCAAAAACAAATTTACCTTTAAATAATGAGGCGGGATTTCCTAGTCACCCAAATTCATTGAATAAACAGAATCTAAAATTCACAACAGACAAGGTACAACCTAGCCATTATTCATGTACCATATTTGATCCTGATTAAGAAAGTTTAGATTAAAGAAAGGCTGAGACCATACTGCTCTCAATTCCACGTAGAACCCTGCAATTATATTATTCAAGAATCGGTTCCCATGACCAACCACCACCAGGTCCACCACCCTCCTCCTTCCATCTCTTTCATTTCAAGATTTGGAGTCTCATTATCTCAAAATCTTCAGCTCCCTCACTGCCCCCCGCGGTAAGCGTTTCTAATCCTCTGCCTTTTTCATGCACTGCGATCATTCGTTATGCTTTTGATTTCACGATTACGTCGTTTGTTTTTTTATATTTTTACTATACATTCAAGATTTTCAAAAGGGTACCTCGCATTGCCGCAAGATTTGCAAAAGGGTACTTCGCGCTGCCGCAAGATTGCAAAAGGGCAGATAATCTGGGCTCTGGGTTTGGATGCTCAGCTTTTTCCTCTTAGGTTATGGTGTAAAAGTTTGAATCTTTGCAATGGGTATATGAGTTTTGGGAAATTTTAGGCCAAGTTTTGAGATTTTTACTGGGGGGATGGAATGATTGTTTTGTGTTTGGTTGGTGAGGTGTTAGTTGAGTTGGTGTTTTCTTGGTTGCTTGTTGTGTGGGTTTGAAATCTGGTGTGTGTATATTTTGGGCATCTGGTGAGCAGTTAAAATCAAATGCAACTTACTAACATTCATTCAAATTTGATGACTGATGACGCGAACTGTAGAGAGGATGGGTAGTTTCAATAGAAGTGTTTCATTTAAGCCGAGGGGATCAAATCTTGGGAGCCCTAGATTTAGTAGGAAGAACTGGGTTAAAAAGTTGTTCCGGGTACTCATTGTGATTGGATCCGTGGTTACATTCCTCTTGGCGATTAGTGGTGGCTATTTGTATGTGCTGCCAAGTTTTACCCAGGCGTTTCATGAGTTTAGTGATACGGAGACCGCCTTTAATGGTTCCAATAGTGAGTGTGATATATATGACGGGAATTGGGTTGTAGATAACAGTTATCCATTGTACATTGCTTCGGAATGCCCCTTTGTAGAGCAAGGGTTTAACTGTTTGGCAAACGGTCGAACAGATGGGGATTATATCAGGTGGAAATGGAGGCCTAGGTCGTGTGGTATTCCGAGATATCATGTGCATAGTACTTTAGAAATGCTCCGAAACAAAAGAGTTGTTTTTGTTGGTGATTCGATGAGTAGAACACAGTGGGAATCTTTGATATGTTTGTTGATGACAGGCGTGCAAGATAAGAGTAGTGTTTTCGAAGTCAATGGGAATAAGATTACAAAGCTGATTCGGTTTTTAGGGGTGAGGTTCAGTTCCTTTAATTTCAGCATCGAGTTTTACAGATCGGTTTATCTCGTCCAACACAATTGGTCAGCTAAATATGGACCGAGAAGAGTTAGATCAACGCTTAAACTCGACAAGATGGATGCCATCAGTCACGAGTGGACTAATGCAGATATACTCATATTCAATTCTGGACAGTGGTGGGTGCCGGGAAAGCTTTTTGGAACGTAAGTATTCTCTTCCCTTTTCACATAGATTTCGCTGAATATAATCCTACCATATAATGTCCAACACTTTTCACATAGATTTCTAGCTTAAGCCATTTAGCAAATGGAAATATCCAACTGAAAAGCGGAACAAAGTTTCCAACTTTGTAATGAAAGTTGGAAAGAACCATACTTTTTCATTGTTCTCCCATCATTCTATTCATCCTAGCTCTCTATATTAGTTATTACTTATTAGCATGGATAAAGATTTCTCTTTTCTTCACTTCTATCTTGCATCCACGTTTTCTTTTTATATAAGTACATTCCAACATATATGTATTAAAAATTAAACTTAATTCATGATGTATGCAGAAGAAGTGATAAGAAGAAGAAAACAGTGATGAGCTGGATATTCTGAATTTTTAGTTACTTCATCCACAGGAGGCTGATTTTGCTCTCGTTTGCCCTTTTCTTAACAGAGGATGCTATTTTCAAGTTGGTAATACAATCAGACTTGGAATGTCGATACCCATGGCTTTCAGAACAGCTCTACAAACTTGGGCATCTTGGGTCGATGCCAACATTAACCCTAATAGAACGCGTGTCTTTTTCAGAACATATGAACCATCTCACTGGAGGTAACTGCAGATAATTACTTTTCTTATCTATAAAGGAGCTCTTGTATGGAAAAACCAATCTGGCCAGCACTTTGCCCTTTAATTGGGCTTGCCCGGTGCGAACAGGGATTAGTCGAAGTATTGTACGGGCTTAAAGGTGTCTCTTATAGTTAAGGCCTGCATAGGACACCTCGTGGTCTGACCAAAAAAAAAAAGGAGCATTATTTAAGATGGCATTTGCCTTTCTAGATTAGCACTTAACCGTTTAATAATTATACAAACTCCATATTTCAAGATAGTATCCAACCATGTTTGTACAAGAATGCTGCATACTTTCTTTTTGTTGAGTGACGAGGAAACCCACAGCCACTATCCGAGGGTATGCATTGGGTAAATCCCACCTTGTGACCCTAGTCGGCAGAGGACCACAAGAAGGTAAACCAGCCTAGGTTGCCCATAGTTTACCGGCTCAAATCAATAAGGTCAATAGGCACTCCCACTGGGAGTCGAACTTGGAACCTTGTGGTTACCAAGCCAACAGCCTGACCAACTTGGTCGGGTTGCCCAAGCTAACCTCTTTTGGTATTGTTACCCGAATAGTAATAGTGTTTGTTTTAGTTCCACTTCTATTTGCTACTTTTTGCCATTCGCATATTACCTTTGTTGGCTCAACGAGTAATTGCGTGATGAACTTTGCATCAGGAACTTAACTCTGCGGCAATGCTATGTGCCAAACCAACCTCTTTCGGAGACTGGAGGGCAGGAATATAGTTCATTCTCGGACGCCATATTAAATGTTGTTAAAAGTATGATTGTTCCCGTTACTGTTTTGCATATAACTCCCATGGCTGCATTCAGGAGCGATGCCCATGTCGGTACTTGGAGTGACAATCCTTCACTATCTGACTGTAGCCACTGGTGTCTACCCGGAGTACCTGATGTGTGGAACGAAATAGTCCTCTCGTATCTGCATGCAACATACAGGTCTACTCTCCGGGAAAGGTGAGTTTCTTGCTCTACTTGCAATTAAAATCTCGTTCACCGTGATTTCTTCTGCATTTCCTCTATATACAAGAGACAACCAACGAGCAATGTGCTTATATCATAATAAAATGTGAGCACCAAGAGAGTTCTGATATATTATTTCTTTGATATGTCTGTATTAAACATTACGATTTTCAAATTATGGTACTTTTCTGATGGATAAACGACAATGGCAATATCACCCACTACCACTTAGTTCTAATTTGAGATTGTTGATAGTTTATCTTTCTGTAATTGAATTCTTTATTTAACTGAACCATCTACATATAACTATTAGAAATATTAAACTAGAACATCATGTGTCCTTAGAACGAGATGATGACAACCTGCATTACTTCTGAAACCCAGGATCATTAAATAGGGTATGAAAAAACTGATTTTTTGGTGGTATGCCTTTATATCAGTGCTAGTGTGCCGCAGATAACAAGAAAGACGAAAAACTGGCGTTGCTGCCTGCTAATAGTACATGTTTTAGCCGAGTATTTATCGGTTCCTGAAATTTTTTTGCACTTTTAATCTCATTTGTCAATAAAAAATGCATATTGGGTTGCGGATGAATTCAAGAAATAACACGATGTGTGTGTGTGTATATAGATAGATACTAGTTCAAATGAGGATAGAGCTTCCTATGCGGCCGGTGCATATTGCACTATTAGGTATGCATAAATGCACCACACCTAATGGTGCGTGCATATATATATATATATATATATATATATATATATATATATATATATATATATATATATATATATATATATATATATATATATATATATATATATATATTGTCAATTTGGCATTGAATCCAGGATTTAAGTATAGTTGATGTTTTTCTGTGCAGGATGCTGAGTAATACTACAATTGCAAGATAGCAGCAATTTTACAGGGAAATGTATAGTTCACAGAGAAAGTGATTTTTGTTCTTCAACAACTTGTATTCATGATGGAAAGGAAATGTCATTATTGCTCATCATTCAATATCAAATTGCTCAACTTACTCTACAATTAGTTAAATAAATAATAAAATATACTTATATCATTAAAGTTATTTTACAGGTTAACTATTAATATTAAATTACTAATTTACCAAACATATTTTTACAAATAACTAATATTACCTTGATAGGGATTATTCCCAGTATATACGTCCCTTTACTTACCAAACATCTGCTCAGTATCCGGTTGGGCCGTCGAGCGGAATTATTCCAGACCTTGATCGAGCAAAAACTCGACCTTGTTGACCTCAATGCGGTAACTGGGTTAGCTGGAGGCAGCGGTAGCATTTTGCCGCTTTGTGATCGACCTCGATCAATTCAGGTCGGGACGATCATCCCAAGCAGGGCTATTTAAGTGTTTAGTCCTAGATTTCGAGCCTTATTCCAACTCCTCTTAGTAGGCGATCAAGAATCTAAGCACACTTACCGACAAGGCACTACTCCCGAACTTACCCACTGTATGCGCGACACGTGACGGGCATGCCGAGAGCCTAACATGTGTCCCATTCTCCCTCCATAAATATCGCATTTGATGTAAAGGGGATGCTTCCCTACTCTCTCTAAAGCACATACATGCTCGGGATTCTCCGACCTTTGATTTTGTTTACCCGAGCTACTATACCTCAAATATCTTATGACTTGTATCTCAATACATATACAATATCAATATTATGTCACCTATAATAAAGTTCTCAAGCACATTGAATCAATTTATACTATCATTACCCATTGTTAAATCATCTTAATACAATTGTAATTAATCTATTGATGAATATGCTTATTACTCCATATAATATTTTTATAACAACTAAATAGAATTGTTATTTCATGAACCAAATATAATTATTATCAAATGGTCTAGTTAAAATCCGATATTATGGAACTAACACTCGAGATTGATTGCCCGCAATCATCATCTTAGATGGACTTGATACATGTTTATTTTTAGAATATATCGCAAATTCACCATATGCATAGTACATGCAGCTGTACAGACCATGGTCCACCTAATAAGCATTGTCTATAAGTTTTGTACTTGAACTAACAAATATACATAACTTTTATTAATGTATCTACAGTAATAAATGAAGACATTTTGGAGGAAATGATAGTGAAAAGTTGGAATTATTACTAGTAGGAAACTGGACCAATGAAAAAACATTTGATGGTGAACTTTAAAGAAGAATATGCATAACAATTGCCAGAAGTGGAGATGGGAAATCAGATGCAAAACAAATTGAATGTTAAGAAGAAACAATAAAAGATCCATCAAACCATATGATGAACTTGCTATTGTTTTATGAAATGAACTCAAATTTCCCTTCAACATATGCACACCAAACAGAAGGGAGAAAAAATATGGATGGAAGGCTAAATAAAATTAAAATCAAAGAAAACGAAGGGATTGTCTGGGAACTGAAATAAGTTAAGGGAATAGAAGAAGTGGGATGGAAGCCAAACAAGAATACACAAGCTATGGCTCTGCCTACAAAATATTTGGGAGTTGAGAATCCAACCTCTCCTGCAACTCCTTGATCTTCATAGAGAGTTCAGACTTTTGGTCTTTGTAATTCCGGATTAGGTATTCCTTCCCTTCAATCGCTTCCTTCAATCCATCCACTTCATGTTTCAGCATTTCTATCTGTTTCCTATCTGCTCTCTCCTTCTCTGAAGATCCCAAATGTTTCTCAACTTCACGATGGCCATTTGCAAAATCCTTTCTTCCTTCTACTGGCCATATACGTCCTGTTGGGGGATTGCCAGAAGAATCCACTTGTCCAACACAATGATCTGTAATTGCCTTCCTCAGCCTCTGTGTTTCTCTCTCTGACTCAAAAACCTCCCTATTCGCAACGTCCAGTAAAGACTGAAGATGGGTAGAATGGCAAAGCTGAGCATTCAGAGAACTCTGCAACTCGACAATCTGTTCCTGCATCGCTAGTATTGTTTCATCCCTTCTCTTCAGCTGTTGTCTCAACTTTTGTATCACTTCTCGCTTGAGGAAAATATCAGAACCTGCTTCGGAGACACAGAGTGATTCACAACTATTCGAGTTGTGCAATGGCTTTTGTGGCAGATCAAGACGGTCAGTGGAGGACAACCAGGCCTCACCATTCTCTTTACTGAACTCGGGAGCAGGAACCATCACAAGAGGAAGTGTCATTTTGGGATCTCTCAACACTGGGTCATTGCAATGTTGTCTCACCATGGGTCTGGTTCCTGTCACATTAAAGTTTAAGAGAATCAATTAGGGACAGTTGGAATGAAAACTAAATCTCAGAACTGAAGCTCTGAATGGATGGCTTGAGGGTTTCCAGACCTGAAAGGCAGCTGTAGCAGTTTTCGTCATCTTGGACTAAACAATTCGAACCTGACTGCAAATAGCAATTCCTGGACTTCTTTTGCTCGGTAGGATTTTCATTTCCTGCATTTGAACTACTACAAAAAGTAAGAGCAAGACTAATTTAGTTGGACAGCCCATAATCCAAGAAGTACGCAAGACCTTTTAAAGCATCATCGGCACTGTTCTGTTCCTTCTCATCAAGCACCTGCTTGAGCTTGTAGCCCAAACGAATTGATAAGGTACTTATTAAAGCACTGCCAGCAATTAGGACCCAGTTTGGCCCTTCCCTCTGAAAAGATTTGGACCTCTGTGCTTTGGACATCTCACTTGCGCTAGATTTCATGTTATGAGTTGCTACAGTAATGGAAGAAGAGATTGATCTCCACCATAAACCTACAGGGAAAAACACCAGCATATTAACTCAAATTGGATCAGCTAGCTAGTATGCTCAGTCTCTCAAAAACAAAATGGGTGCCTAGAATAAAAAGAGAGACGCCAAACAAACTGAAACCGAGTGTTGGATCAGTAAGGTAAACATGTCAGACTCCAAACTCCCTCAAAATGCTTAGTGTTGTCAGCTGGATCAGTAATGTAGACAAGTACTAAAAATCCCATCCAAATGCTAAATAGATTTAAGATCATCATAGCTTCTCTCAACTTTTCTTGTTTCTTAAATTTAAAAATAATAATAATAATAACAATAATCCTGTTTGAAACGGCAGCATACATCTCTATTTTGCTATTAGATGTTAAGCAACCCATCTCCCCTCCCAAACAAGGGATAAATTGTGCTGATCAAATTTGGATCTACTACTACTCAGATCTCCAAAACCTCATACTATAATTCAGAGGAACAACAAAAGAAATGCAACTATTTTGCTTAACATACCAAGTAGTCATGCACAATTCTTGATTTGAGAAACAAATTCACAATTTGAAGACCCAAAAGAAAGAAAGTTCCCAGAGAAGCTACATTTGATCTCAACTGGGAAAATGGAAATTACCATTTTTCAAAACACGAATCAATTATGGATTCAATACACTAATCTTCAAAAAAAATTATCTCATATTCGGCAGGAGTAAAACCCCTCCCAAAAAAATGGGAAGAATTCCTTAAATGCAACTCCTGAGGAAGAAACCAAACAGTAGGCAATTAAGCATGCAGTTGGGGTGCAACACTGATTGGATAGATAGAGACAAAAGTATGAACACAAATCATTGAAATCAACATCTATCATATACGCCTGAGAAAAAGACATGTCCCAAAAAAAACAAAAAAAAACAAAATCAAAATCGAACATTGATAGTAACCCTTCTTTAAGCCAATGGCATGTGAACTTGCTGTGAATTGATAGATATGTTTACTTTTCGAATAAAGAAAAAGATAGATAAAGATAAAGCGGTACCTGATTAGTCTTAATCGGATGGGAAAAGCAATTAGTGAATCGACTATGACAGAATTTAGCTTCTGAAATGAATGTGGAGAAAAGGGGTTCGCAGATTACTAAAAAATAGAAGCAAATGTAGGAGAGAGTAGAGGTGTGACTGAAGAAGAAGAAGAAGAAGGAAGAGTGAAGTGGGGACAAAAAAGTACTGATCGTAACATTTCTCTTTATGTTGGTGATCGGATTTCCCGTACACAACCAAAACCCAGAACCTTGTGTTCCTCAATTTTATTTTGGTAGTACGGAGTACAATTTAACATATGATAACAGTAATGTCATGATATTAAGGATGATTAGTTATTTTTATGTGGGTCTCATTGAAAATGTTAATATAAAAAATTTTGTTAGAGGGAGTAGGAATAGTATTTTTTTTATTTTTTTTTTTTGTTAGAGTAAACCAAGAGTATTAAGTTTTTGTCAATTTTTTTTTTTTTTAATAATGAGGTGATTTTTTTCGTAAAATTAATTTTAGACTCACAAAATCTCGCTCATAGAGTCATTGTAGAGATAAATCGTGAGTCGTGCAATTAGTCCATCAGTTAGACCTTAGTCATGGGAGCAAACCAACACCTTTTATTCTATTCGTGTTTTTAAACGGTACGAACCACTACGTTAAGAGGAGAGAGATAGAAAAGATGGGGAAAATGAAAAAGAAAAAGTGTTAACGCACTATGTGGACACACCTAGTAACAAAACATTCACTGGGATAATTTTTCATGATATTAAATTTAACATTAGTATATAAAATTTATATATTTAGAAATTACATTAAAAGTACTATTAAACTCTAAAAAAAATTAAAAATAATTGAAAATACTAAAAAAATAATGAAGGAAAAAAAAAGTTAGTTTGAACAATGAATTGTAAACCTGACAGACAAAATGAGACATAAGTTTTCTTCTTTTTTTTTTTTTTTTTTTTCCATTGTGAGACCTACAAAAATTGTGTATTATGAGCTAACAAAAGTATTACGAACCACAACTACTCCGAATATGTTGTTTCTAATTAAGGATGCCAGTGGTGCTAATGTGCTATGCTCCCATTGAGAGCTGTCATAGCAGATGTGACGATTTAAAAAATAAAAAATAAATAAATAAATAAAACGTTATTCAATGAGAGCAAAACAAATTAGTTGACAAAAGTTTCCTTAAAAATTCACCATGTGACTTTTTCCTATTAGATTTTGTTGTTGATTGGCTATATTGACTAAAATTGGTAGAATTTCAAAATCGTGAATTAATAAAATTGATAGTAGAAGTTAAAAATGTACAACAAAAACTGAATACAAAAAAAGTTGTAAACTTTGTATCAAGATATTGTTTCCACGATATCTACATTGTTCCCTTACAGACCTCAAAACTTTTTTTGTTATACTAATCGACACGGTAGACTTTCTCTAAATATATAATGTATAATAATCTTAATTAATGAAGGATGAATATATATTTATTATTATTCAATATAATAATTTACAACACTTAAATAAAATTGTCATTTCACAAGCCAAATATATTATTATAATCATGGATTTCACCTTTTTTTTAGTTAATGTAAATTACAAAAATTAAATTGATGTTTTTTTTCTTTGAATGTACATATACTTACATTTTAAGAATTTTATTTTGCCTCACTTCATTTTCACATATAAGTTGTTTAATATTTATTCTCAACAATAATTACAAGTCTTGATGAATACATTAATGAACATTATTTTGTGAAGAAAATTCATTGCACCTCCAATCAACATTCATCTCAAACCTAGTGCCTGACATGTTGGGACTCTGATTTAACTTCACAAGTGCATTATAAAGAATATATCCCAGATTACAAGATCCACACCACTGTTTTCACTAGCACTATAGAAACAAAATATTTTCAAAAAAAAAAAAAAGACATATCAAAATAATGTTACATGAGGGAAGAACATTAGGAAATTGAGAAAATCAGAAAAATACATTAAGATGGCACTAAAAAGAAGTCCATCAGTAACAATAAATTAATTACTTCAGATAATTTCAACAACTCACAAGAAGGAAAACTGGCAGGCTGGAAGGAAATCTATGCCTCATCTTGGAGTTCTCTTTGGACGACATATACATTCAGGGTATGGATTTTGGTAAAAAGGTTCTTCCATCCTGAACCGTGCTCGCCCTTTGATTCCTTGGGGGGCGCCTTCTCTATCTCTAGGACCGCCTTGCCTGCAAAACGAGATATGTATAATTACACCCAAATCTCAAGTCGTGTTTTCTAAGAAATAGTTATACAAGCAAACAAATAACCGCTGTCACCTGTTCTTGTGCAATTTGTTCACTAGATGCGATAATGATTGCCCTTCTTCAAGCTCTCCAGCTTCCAGCCGATCAAATATTTCAACCAGGCCTTTCCTGCAGAGCAGTAGTTAATGCCAATAATACTTATATATAAGGAAGCATATCTACTTCACAAGGACAGTCAAGGCCACGTCCTAATTTTCCCAGGTAACAGAACTGATGTTGTTAGTGAGATCCATCTTCGGTCCAACAAAGAGAAAGAGGAATTTCTCTCTTTTATAAGAAAGAGCTACCTTCAGTGCATTTTGCATCGCACTGTAGCAAAACAGGGCTCAAAAAGCAGATAGAAGTGTCATGGCAACTTCTCATTCCATGTAGCAATTTTTAGGCCCCACAAAATGCCCTGTCCTTTGTGAGTGTTAAAGGAAGAACAGAATTGGAATTTGGTATGCTCATGATAGATCAATAAAGGAGACGTCATGAGAAAGCTTGCTGGTGTTAAATGGAGACAAAGAAGTCAGGAGTTAGAATCCATGTTCACCATTCTTTCAGTATTTTAATTCCAAACCCAGTTTAGTTAAGGAATACTTTAAGTCGACATTTTGTAACTTCCTGAGGAAAGACATAATAAACTAATAAATTTTGAAATAATTTTTTGAGTACCTGTCAGGAGTGATTGTCTTCCGGTGGCCTAAGAATCTACGATGCCCCTCAACTGTTATTGCCATATTACCAGAATGTGATGGAACGAAAACATCACTCTCAATAGAGATAATATAGTCAAGTGCTGCACTTTGTGATGCATGATTGGCAAATTCTCTCAGTTCTTCAGGGGTTGCAAGCATTTCCTGCCATTAATGGGAATTTTAGCCAGCCAATTAGATAACATAGCAAAGTAGTGAAATCTTATGAACTGCAGTCACTAGAGGATGTAAACAAAGAGTATTTACCTTTGAAACTACATTTGGAAAGCGAGATGTAAGCTCTAAAAGATGACTGTTACCACCATAGATTTCTCCCGCAGCAATATAAATCACTGTTGACTTGGGATAACCAAGAGCTTGAAGAAATATTCCAACCTCCTTGGGCGTAAGAGGACAGAAACCACCAATTCTCTGTTCAGTGGAATTGATATTCTTGATCTTCCAATGATTTGTATTCTCCCTAGTAACATTTTGAGTTTAGAATAAGCTATCAGGACAACTAGTCCTCAAGTAAAGATTACTGAAGTCATTGAATAGGTCAAAGTATAATCTTCCATCTCAGATATTAATGAATCCACCATTAAAGGGATTATAAAGAAAGATTTGCTACCTGAACCATGACAAAGTCACTAAATTAAATTTGAGATAGCTGCTATCATGATTCAGTAAACAAAATATACACATACATGATTAGATGGTGCAAGTTTCACTCAAAATGCTTTAAAGAAAAATAAAAGCATCCTATAAAATTTAACGAATAAAGGAAAAAAATAGAATCAGACACATGATGCAAGCTTCTACTGCACAGCATTGCCACATAAATGAAAAATACATATACAGATTTACATGGTGACAAGTGCGTATGACACGTGGGTGTGAAAGAGAGAGAGGGGGTGGAGAGAATACCTCATCACTCTAAGCTCCTCGGCTTCTTCATCAGTAAGACCATATGTACAGCCAGTAAAAGCCAGCATGTCTTTTTCATACCGCAAATGAAGTGCAATGTATCTTGGCGCTCGTAATCGCAGCCGCTCCACAAGCTTCTGTGGTATCACCATCATGTATGCTCAGAGCCTAATTTACAAGGAATCCCTGTGGGATACCTTCTAAATGAATTTTACATTTTTAAGTACATATTGTAGCATAAAATTTACCTACTCAGATGTTATGAAGGATCCTATTCATCACATCTTTATGAAATCTTATTCAATTATTGATGAGAAGAGAAAAATGAGCAATGACAAAGGAGAAACTTTAATTTATGTCGTTTCCTTTACACACCCTGTACATATTTTATTTAATGTAAAATAATGTGTCACTGCCCAGATAAACAATTCAGAAATGCTTCATGATTCTGGAAAGAAAATCAAACTCTACACTCATTGGTGTAGTTGTAACAGTGACCAGATAAACAATAATTTATCATTACTAGGCAGGTTTCTTGAAAAAAAATTCTAACCTTTCCAAGGCTCTCAATAGGAGGAGAGAAGCGAAGAGCGTGATATAAAACACGACATCTTAATCTCTGAATATCAAGAGGCAAATCATTGTTTGCAAGTCGAGAATCAGATTTAGCGACATGAATGACCTGTACAAAAGATTTAACGATATCAAAGTTAAATATTGAAACCAAATTATGGTAAATATGTACACATGTACATATATATATATATATATATATATATATATATATATATATATATATATATATATATATATATATATATATATATATATATATATATATATATATAAATATTGAAACCAAATTATGGTAAATATGTACACATGTACATACAT